GGGGAGTTAAAAAATATAGGGGATCATGACCTGAGGTGTTAGCAAAGATGACACAAAAACGTGTAGGACAAGAAAAATGAGAAACAATGTGGAGTTGGGACAGAAAGAGGCTCACAAAGTAAAAACATAAAAATCAACCTTGTAACACAGATCCTGTAATTTAAACTAGAACATAATACAAGATACAAAACAGAAGTCTTACAATAACCCATCTGAACACTAAAATCAACATACACTTGTTAAAAACTACAGGGGGGGGAGAACCTAAAACATACTAAATACAAGAAATTACTGAATATCCCCTTAAAGAAATAATACAAAATAACTCTTAAAATGCACACACACAAAAAATAACCTTTTAAACATACATGAAAATCATGATCATATATATATATATATAAAATAATAAATCAAATGGAACACCCTGAAAATAATACATAGATTAATAATATAAAAACAAAGAAAATATACTTACATTTCCATAAAAAAGGAAATGCTCTTAGAATAAACCAAAAACAAAAAATTACTTAGGTACAAAAATGAATAAAAAATGTAAAACACCCAAAAAACTAAAACTGAGATGAATGCTTACATATTAAACTACAACACATTCCATCAAATAAAGAAACAAGAATATGTACAAAATATAAATTTTAATAAATGCCAAGCAATAGGTTTGACTGGCAGTGCTAGTAGTGTGGATATCTTGGAATCAGGCCAAGACTTTCCTGGTCTGTGCCAACTCCACACGTAACTAATGGACCTCCTCTTCGAGCAGAAAGGTGGAATGTTTCTCTGGTATAACTGATCCTCTTTGCAGTTATACAAGGCCTATGCCTCAGTCCACTTCACAACCAACTCCTGACAATACCAGTATCAGGATATGCTGCAATGTCAGTTCTATAGTTAAAGTGGTAGATGCGGTTGTTGGTAAGTTGATCCTAGGCTGATGTGGCTCGACCACCATTAAGGAGGAAGCACTCTCATTCATCTCAAACATACTGGTGGTACCTGACTAGTTGTTCTGCTGTGGGGCTTCATACTACTAGTGGTGGAGATCAGTAGTCTCCATTGCTGTAGGTTGGTCCCTTTCCCTCATCTCTGATATACTAACCTAGAGTCCAGCTGAACCTCAAGAAGACTTCAGCTTTGTGATCATTTTTCACAGCATCAATATGTAGTGATCCTAATAATGGTGGGTGCACATCTGGTGTAGCTTACACATGGTTGTCAGGCAACTGGTGATAGGTGGCTCCTAGTGCAAATAAGTCTATCTTGATTCCTTCTCAGTGAGAGTTGGATTAGCCAATCCATGGCATCCTTGGCTTTTGGACTTGGTTCTGCCTGTGATATGGGGTACTCTGTCTTCTCTGGTGCTTCTGCCAGTATGTCTAGGCTTGGCTTGGCATTGACTTAACTGGAGACTTCACAGCTAACTCAACAACTGAGGCAGCAAGAACCTAAGCATCACATACTCAGCTAGAAACACATTTTCATCCCTAGGCTCTGTTGTGTTGAATGTCAGGACATCGCCAGGAGTTTAAAAATCAGCCATGTGAGCCAGATATTCACCACAGCAAAAATCCTTGGCATATACTGGTTCTCCTTGAAAATACCTTCCATGGTACAGCATTAAATATGGAGGGTCTAGACTCACTGGAACAGGAATAGAATTAATGGCTTATTGAAGAACAAGACAGCCAAAAGGGTCAACAATTAAATCTTAAACAGCAAAAGACCAGACTGAAAATGTAATATCAAATTAATTTCAATTGGTCAAAAGATAAGCCAGGTGTGTAGGTTGTAAAGTATGTTGTAACTGGCCAGCTACACCTACACTCTTCTCTAAAACTATCTTTAAAGACAGTGCTAAAACTATTAACTTGATCAATTAATATTTTTATAGTCTTCACATGTACTTATGTTTATATCACCTGTAGAATATGTATCCCTAATATCTGTGAACTTCTTGGTCCTCCAGAATTCATGGGAGATCCACTTGACCATTATCTATATAGCTGTGCTGCGCACTGTTGCCATTCCTGTGACAAGAGATAACACAGCTCATCCTCCAACAGAGTCACATTCCCTCCACTATAGTTGGTTGTTATGTTTGTTTGTTTTGAATTTTGCCCAAAGCTACACGAGGACTATCTGCACTAGTATATTTTAATTTTCCAAATACATTATTGTTCAGTCATTTTACAATACATTTCCTTCTTTATAAAGTCAATCCAATATTCACTATTTATGCAATCTTAGAATCCTTTATTGCCAAAATACTGTTTATATCTTATGAAGGAAGTTACTTGTTTGTTTGTTTTTAATTTTGCACAAAGCTACACAAGGGCTATCTGTGCTAGCCATCCTTAATTTAGCAGTGTAAGACTAGAGGGAAGGCAACTAGTCATCAACACCCACCGCCAACTCTTGGGCTACTCTTTTTACCAACGAATAGTGGAATTGGCCATCACATTATAATGCCCCCACGGCTGAAAGGGCGAGCATGTTTGGTGTGATGGGGATTCGAACCCACGACCCGCAGATTGCGAGTGAAGTGCCCTAACCACCTGGCCATGCCGGGCCTGGTTGTTATGTGAAAAGAGCACTTTCAGTAGGAAAGGAATTGAGTCAAGACTGCAAAACTAGTTCCTACACACAAGCTGTTACAGGTTAGTCATTATATAAGTACCAACTTCCATTTCTGACTATAATAATCCACTAACACATTCATTGTCTCTCCCTCAGAACTTTCTTCCAGATACATGCTTAGTACAAGCTAGGCATGACTTACAGTCTGCAATTTCATACATCTTAACTGTACCTTGTACTGAAACAATGTTAAGAAAATTGTATGCTTATAAAATATTTCAATCTGTAAGATTGAAAATGTTCCATCATAACTAAATAAAATACTTGATGATGACAAAACCTTGTTGAAAAGTTGTACATTTGCTGTTATGTTAAACTTATATTAAAGTTTTTCTTCATTACCCATTCAAGCTGTTCCCAAGCATTATTAGTCTCAAAGTGGATTCCTTGTCATCAAATTTGTCTGTGGATGTTATTTCTTATCTGGAAGGAATGTGGACTTGGTAAATGTAGATTTTCAAAAAGCTTTTGATAAGGTGTCACAGAAAAGATTAGCTAAGAAAATCATAATGGTGGAGGCTGAGGAAAGACAAGTAAATTATATTGGAGGGTGGTGGGATGAGAAAAAGTAAAAAATTGTTACTAATGGTATCCAGTCAAACTAACCCTTGTTACAAGTACAGTACTGCAGGAGTCAGTGCTTGGGCCTTTACTCTTTCGTATTTGTGTTAATGATATTTATTGGGGTATAATTAGTAAATTGGTAAAGTGTGCAGATTACATTAAACTCTTGGATATTTCTAACTGTACTGAAAATGTAGACGTACTAAAGTATGATTTGGATCAATTGAATAGTTAGATAAATATTTGAAAATTATCTTTAATTATAGTAAGTGAAAGATAATACATTGAACCATTTAGGCTACAATAATTGAGATTACATGTTTAATATAGGTGGGAACACACTCAACAGTGTGACTAAAGAAAGGTTTCTAGGCATAGTGGTTGATAAGTCACTCAAACCACTAAGACAGTGTATTTATAAACATATTAATTACAATTCAAAAGTAGTAATTATACAGAGTTACTAAAATTCACCCACTGAGCTCGAGAATCATGCATCTGGGCCTATTCTCATGCTGAAACACCTTAGTAAAAGAAATGTCCCATTTTGGTCAAATTAGCTGATTTTTATTATGCATTGTGGTTGGTTGTCCAATCAGTATCACATTGATCAGTTAACATTTTGCTTCATTGAATAAAAACATTTTCTGAGGGAGTATGTTTCAGACCTTCCTAGAATGCAACTGTCTTTAGCATTTTGACACTTTACCACTTGCTAAAGCTTTACTTTTACAAAAGTCTCACTAAAATAAGTTCCTAAAAGTTGGCAGCTCTGTAATTTTTCTTAATACAGTCACTAGTTAGGCCTTACTTGTAATACTGTGTACATCTTAATTGGTCTCCTTATCTAAGAATGGCTATTGAATTATTGGAAAAGGTTTAGAGGAGGACTACTAGGATGATTCCAGGGATGGAAGGATTATCTTACAGGGATAGGTTAAGATCTCATAATTTTATCTTGAGAAAAGAAAAGTGGTAATCTCAATGAAGTTTACAAGATTATCTTGGTAATCAGTAGGATAAGGTCCTCTTGTATCTTTGTGCTATACTCTGAGGATGATAGGATGAGATGAGTTAGGCTCCAGTTAAAACAGTTTTACTTTTCTAACAGGGTGATTGGCTTATGGAACAAGCTGCCATCAGAAATAATGGAGTCCAGTACTTTAAAAGAACTTAAAAAAGAGAACTGATAATTTTCTTAAAAATAAAAGGTGAATTTAAGTTTTTACTTTTACTCAGGGATGAGTATTAAGGGACAGCCTTGAAGGGCCAAATGGTCCTTGTTGTCTGTATGTTAGCTAAAAAGTGCCAATTGTGTATTTTAAATGCACTACAAAAGAAAAGCACTAAATCCATCAAAATCTACATGAACCAGTGAGAGCTATTGTGAGATGTTACATTTTGATATTAGTTAGTTAGAACTTGATCTGCAACATGAGTATGGATACCAAAGAGTAACAAGAAAGATATGACACTGAATGGTTAATTGCAGATGATGAAAAAAAAAAAGGACACACATTCACAACTATCAAAAATAACAGCTAGTGCTATACTAGAGTACTACTTCATTCCTTACTGTCAATGTGTTAGGGAGTTTATAATAAAAGTTTATATATGATAAAGGACTATAGTGATAGCATAAATCTTAAATAATAAGAAATTGAACTGAAGTTCAGAAAAATATCTTTATGATAACCTGAATAACATTACATGTACTTTTATCTTTACAAAATCAATTTGTCAAAAAATAAAGCTGAAAGAAAAGCAATAGGGTAAAACCTTACCTTGACTGTGTCTTTTCTAATTATGTGTGTATCCTCATAAGATGAAATATAAACTTTATCTTCCTTTTCTTCACTTTCTAATTTTAATTGTAAAACAGACTGTCCATCCATGACAACCTCTGCCACTATTCTTTATAGTGATTCTGTCATAACTAAGAAATACAAGTAAGAATATTTACTGCACTTAACTTTTTAAACCACTTAGTAAGATATATATATATATATATATGTGTGTGTGTGTATAAGTTTTTATACAGACAACCTTATAATAATATATGTTATATTACAGGAATCATTTGAGCACATGTTTTAATTTGGAAGGTCCATACAATAGTTTCCTGTTTTAAAGTGTTTTTTTGGAAAAAAATACCAAATACTTTTTGGAATTTTCCACCTTAATAACTGACTAATTACCATCGCTCAAAAAATACCTTTCATACCTGAAGAGAAAAATTGTGCAAAATGTTTCCTAATTAAGTTTCTATTTAAGAAATATTTTTTCACAAGTCATACAACTTATTATAAGGTGTAAAATGAATTATTACAAATTTTTACAGAAGTTCATGAATAAAATATCTTTATTCATTCAGTTTTGCTTGCATTTAAATTATATATTTTTTTCTCTGTTTATTTGATATAAACATTCTACATGGAATACTATACTGTGACCCCACGTGGAAATATTTGGAAGCTACACTTCATAACAGGGCCTAATGGTTATGGCACTCAACTCGCAACCTACAGGTTTGATCACCAAATATACTTGCTCTTTTAGCTGTGGCCCATGGGGGTATTATAAATGAGTAGTCCAAGTATTGGTAGAGGGTAGTGTTGACTAGCTGCCTTCTCTCTAGTCTATTACTTCAAATTTAGGGACAGCTAGCACAGATAGCTCTTGAGTAGCTTTGCTCAAAATTCAACAAAAAAGAACAACAAACCCTTCATAACCAGACGTCAGTAGTACTACTACTAGTACTATTAATAACAGAATGAGTTGGGTGCATGTAAAAATTTTGAAGTATGAGCTATAACAATTATAATAACGTTTCAATAGTAGTAGGAATTAGTATAAAATGAAACAATAGGTTATTAGTGGTAGCAATTAAAGGATACTAACTAAGTACAAGTTACAAGATGTAATTTATTAATAGCATTAGTAAGCAAATTATTTAAAATTTCAACACAAACTGTGGTCTAACCAGAATCCTGACCTATATTATACAAACGCCAGTCTGTAAAGTTGTAAACTAATAGAGGATTATTGACGTATATACAATTAGACTGTTACTGTTAGAATGAGATGATATTATTAACATTAATAATCGATACGTAGTAAGTCCCAATATCAGTTACCTTAATAATAATAAATTAATAGAATAATAACAACGTTACATAAAACAGTGATCAATCTTGTGACAGTGACAAGAAAAATTATTTCAGCTGCATAATTTGATGTAAAGTTAGTGCAAAGACGATTTTAATTTTCACACATACAGTGTTATGTTATTAACGTACTATTAGTTTTACTATTTGAATTCAAAATGCTTTCGCTAACCAGACAATGATCAAGCCGACTGAATAATAAGGGCGACATCATGTGGACAAATGTAATACGACAATAGCGGACAAGATCTATTTAAAATAATTTTCATGTAACCATACTTATATAGGTTTAATAAAATATCGAATAAAAACAACCACACGCCTCTGCGATTATCGCTACTCTTTATTTAGTTAGTAAATGTAGAGTACATTCTTTCTTAGTCCCCCCCCCCCCCCTAGGCATAGTGGTTAATCTGTAGGCTTACAACGCTCAAAACCAGTTTTCGAAACCAGTAGTGGGCAGAGCATAGTTAGTCCATTGTGCAGCTTTGTGCTTAGCAACAAACAAACTTTATTAAATTTTAGAATTTGCTACGCTCTTATTATTGATGAAAGTCACATAGCTAGAAAGAGACTGATTTCTGCAAACACACGAGAGATTATAGCTACTTATTACATTCTGTTTGTTTGTATTTATGCACAAAGCTACACAATGGGCTATCTGAGCTCTGCCCA